CAACTTTAAGACTTGTGGACTTCAACTCCCAGAATTCCTCAGCCAGCAAAGCTGGCTGAGGAATTCTGGGAGTTGAAGTCCACAAGTCTTAAAGTTGCCAAGGTTGGACACCCCTGCCTTAAACAGTAATAAACATAAAATTTGTCAGTGTTACCTTCAAATTTGAAGATGACTGAGGCAATCACAGCACATCTTGGGGCATGATAAAAAGGGCACCATATGAGGACATGAGCAAGAGTTTCTACCTCCCTGTATCCACAAGGGCAAATTGTCTGCAAGTAAGTAATCCAGTGCAGCCTTCCTGCCAGTAGAGCTGATGGGAGGCCCAGAAATTAGGATAAATGGTTCGATTACAAGATTTGAGTCCAGGGTGTATCCAGATATTGACAGTACCTAACTTTGACTAATGCATTCAATCAGCGCTTAGATGGAGAAAGCTCTTATCAATGCCAACAATGTTATCTGTAGAAATGCCCTTCCTTATCAGGGAAGGAAAGACCTCTGCTCCAGTTCCTTAGAAAACTGGATTAGTTGGTCGTTTTCTGTTTCGTAGTGATTGGCTTCATTTTATCCTAGTTTTGCTGAGCCTCCCTAAATGTTAAAGTTGGTCAGTTTTCGTTCATCTGCTGCATAATGTCAGCTTTATTGTTTTAGGACAATCTCTTCCTCTACCAGCTGGGAATTTGGAGAGTTATGTCCAGGGGTGGGCTTCAGAGGGTTTTAGCAAAGGGTTCTCTGCCCAGTTGCTGGGTGGGCGTGGCCATGGTGGGCGTGGCCTAGCCTCCTGCACCACAGTAGGGCGTTTTTGCCCTCCCTGGGCTCTGGAGGCTTCCCTCGAGCCTCCGGTAGGGTGAAAACGGCCTCCCCAAGCTTTGGACGCTCTCTGGAAACCGGAAACGCGCCCATTTCTGGCCTTCCCGAACTTCCAAGAGGCCCGTTTTTCACTCCCCGAGCCTCCATGTGCGCCTTGCACTTACTTGCATTTAAAACAGGCCACGTGGGGACTCCTGGGTGGGGCTGGGCGGGGCCAGCCAGGAGTGGGATTTGAGGGTTCTCCGAACTGCACAGAATCTTAGCTAGGGGCTCTCCTGAACCCCTGCAAACCCCCAGCAGCCCACCCCTGGTTAGGTCTGTCCTAAGGAGCTTGGAAGTTAGCATGTAAAAGGGTGATCAGGACATACCGGTAGACACTAAATCATTGTCCTTTGCAGATTGTGGAAGAAAGTGAAGAGAGGCTTACAGAAGAGCAAATTCAATCCCTTCTCCAGACAGTCACCAGCATGCTTCCGGGAGACCCAGAAAAAGAGCAAGAGCAGCAATCCATGGTTGTGGAAGAGGAGGGGAGCCAGACATAGGAGAAGTATAAATGACTTGAACTGCAGGAGACCGCCTTCCCCATTTTAGCATCAGGAAGGGTTGGCCAAACTCTTCATTTGCTATGAGAATCTGCAGATTTCCCACGGTTTCCATGATGACTAAGCAGTGTTGTCACTATATGTTTTTCCATTGTTTGTACACCACAGGAGAATTATTATTTACAGCATAAACTTTTAAAGGGAAAAAAATAACTCTTGTCTTTATGTTTTATCTATTGTAAATGCAACGTGAATTGAGGTTTATGCCGGGGCAAATGCTACTATTGACTTCACAATTTTCATGCTTCTCTACTGCAATATGAATCTGAGTTCATCCCAAGGCGGATGCTACAATTGGCGTCACAATTTTCATGCTTATCTACCTGGAAAGTTTTACACATGAATAGCACAGATGTTGGCATTATGGACTTGTTCATTTATTAGAAAAGTGCATTCCAATTTTCCTGTTATTACTAAAAGGTATCACATATAAAGTAGCAGATTATTCATTATAGTGGTATGTCATAATAGTCACAAAATGGGCCAGTCACATAACTGATCTGATTTTGCAACCTTTTTGCAGCAGTTGTTAAGCAAAGCAACAATATTCATTAAGCAAATATATGATAATTAAGTTAATCCATGGTCATTAAACAAACCAATGGTTCACTATGGGCGTGCAAAAACCAGAAGTGCCAATTTTTGGCAAAACTTATAAAACCGGTCATGTGACCACAGGATGCTGCAAGTGGCCATGAATACGGCCATACTGCCAAAGTTGTCATGTGATCACAGGGGTGGGGGGCTCAACCATTGGAACTTTGAATTTGGGTTGTTAAGTCCCCTTTTCAGGTTGGTCATAATTTTGAATGGTTGCTATGCAACCTGTCATAAGTCAAGGACTACCTTTCTGTTTTTCTTTCCTTTGTTCCTCAGCTGAGGCCTTCACTCTTCATTGGGTCGACTCACACTTAGTTCTTGGCCATAACATGTCCACTATCCTTTTGGCAGATGTAAACCATGGTCTGGGATCAGTTTGTTGGGCAAACACATCCAATTGCTAAGTCATATTGTTTAGTCAGTGCCCCTCTATCTTCCTCCCTCATTTTCATTGTTCTACCTCTAAACATCTGTCTAGTAGTCTTGTATCTTCCCAGTATTTGGGAGTCTGAAAGAATCCAGTAATCAAACACTTTCTGACTGTCCTGGGCACCTTCCTCCATAGATTTTCCAAATGGTTGGAACGCTGACACCTGGATTCCTTGCTTGCTTGGACATATCAATAAGTCTAAAGAACAAGAGACCTGCTTTACACTGCATTACTTTATATTTCAAAGCCTTTGTTGTCAATGTACATCATATATACAATGAAATTGGTTTAGCCTCTACTGGTGCAGTCCATACAAGAATACAAGACAACATGAATAATATAAAGAATAATCCTTATATGAGTAGTTAGGGGAAAAAACTAGTCATACATTTCCATATGTATGTTATATTCTGTGCAACATGAATATTACTCTGGTATATGGTGTATAATTTATAAATAAAATGGGAGTGTCTGGCCAACCTTTCCAATGCAGTGCTGACCATCTACTTAAATCCTCTGCATTACCGGTAGAATACCATTAATTTATTGGAACATGTGTGTTTTAGGTTTGTGAAAAGTATACAAAGAAAGAAACACATAGGGAAAAATAAGCAGAAGTGGGTTTTAGTTTGAGATATGTATTCTTTTTTTATGCAGGCAATACTTTCAGGTGCTGAATACTTTCCTTAACAGAAAACTGGGTGGTGAATGATTACAGCTGCAGGCAAGCAAGTTTCTAAAATAACTAATAATCCTTGTTCAAAACTCCTATTTGCTCTTTGGCAGATGTCCCAGAAGATGAAGAGATTTGTTCATAAGGAGTTCCATTCTTGCTTCCTGTTCTGTTAGCTTAGAAATGTGCATATGGAGAAGAGTGTCCGGAAATCACCAGGTCAGGGTTTCAAATCCACAGAGACTTCAGGGTTTGTTAATTTAAATTGGGCAGATTCAAACACGCACAATGACTTGATTGATAAATCTTGCTAAGTGTTAGTGGGAGAATACATGAAACCCTTGAGTCCACCTCTGACCACAATAGCCAGAAATAAGTGGTGTGGTTGACCATTTAAGTCAAGACAAAGGAAAACATTGTAAATCCTGATTTATTGGTGGGGGAGAGGTTGTTTAAAAAGTCAAAAGAGGACAGCCAAGACTATGTTTGAAGCAGTGGTGGGATTCAAATTTTTTTACTACCGGTTCTGTGGGAGTGGCTTGGTGGGCATGGCAGATGAAGGATACTGTAAAATCTCCAGTCAGAGGAGATATTTGCCGGTTCTCTGAAGTACTCAAAATTTCTGCTACCGGTTCTCCAGAATTGGTCAGAACCTCTGGTTTGAAGCTCTGCTCCTTGCACACTTGTAAATCTATGGTGACCCTCCCAAAACAAAAGCCTGATAATAGTTTTTATTAAGAGATACCGGTAGTTCTTGGCTTATGACCACAACTGGGAGCAGAATTTCCATTGCAAAGCAAGGTGATTGTTAAGTGAGTTGAGTTCAGTTTTATGATTTTTGCCATGATTGATAAGTGAATCACTGCAATTGATTGTTAAGCAAATCATGCAGTTAAGTGAATCCATTTTCCCTATTGACTTTGCTTGTTAAAAACCAACTGGGAAGATCACAAATGGCAATCACGGGATCCTGGCTACATTCCAACCATCATAAATACATATTGGCCAAGTGCCCAAATTTTGATCACATGACCAGGAGGATGCTGCAAAGGATGTAAGTAAGAAGACTGGTTGTAAATCACATTTTTCAGTGCCACTATAATTTCAAACAATTGCTAAATGAATGAGTGTAAGTCAAAGACCATCTGTATACTTAGACTGCAGCTCATAAAAGGTTATACCTTTTAATACAAATCTGCTTGTTAGAAAAGCTGTTTTGTGGGCTCCTGATTTTTTTTTTTTTTTTTTGCCATTGTGGCTTCTAAGATACTTTACCAATTCAGTTAAGGTTAAGGTTAAGTCAATAAGGTTAAGGTTAAGTCAATAAGGTTAAGGTTAAGTCAATAACATATGCATTTATAAATTAGATTGATACCCTCACTGAATTATTACTACTTCTAGTTCATGAGCTTGTTGGGAAAAATTGAAGAAGGAAGTATAAATTACCTTGAGCTCCTGAAAGAAAGTTGGAATATAAGCAAGTAAAGTACTGTACAAAAATCCTGCTGATATAATTACCGGTAGTATTTGTGAAATAGGCTGGGCTTGAAATAGTGATTGGCCTAAACTCATTCTGAGTTTCCATGGCTAAAGATGAATTTTTCCAGTATAATGACCACTATACCATATTGCTTCTCTTTTAAAGCCATACACATTTAACATCATCTGTGAACCGACTCAATTGTTTATCAGATTCTTGGCTGAAAGCCTTATATTTCAAACAGATTTTTCCCTACAAAAAAAGCCCACCTCTATCGAATAGACATCCATTCTCATGACTAATGACTTTAACCAGGGGTGGGATTCTACCAGTTTGCACCTATTCGCTGGAACCAGTTGTTAACATTCTAAGCAGTTCGGAGAACCGGTTGTTAGAAGAAATTACTGGCCTAATCCTGTAAGGAAGGCAGGAAGGAAACATTCTGGTGTTGCTTACAGAAATTGCCTCTCTGTTAACCCTTATTACATTCTTGGCAGGACTAGACTTCCTGTCTCAGGAACTTCTCTGGAGCTTTTTTCCCCTCCTTTGCTGGTACTTTGCTTGTGTGGAGTGACCATTTAAAGTTACAATGGCACTGAAAAAAGTGACATATGACCATTTTTCACAATTATGACTGTTGCAGCATCCCCACAGTCATGAGAGGCCAGGCAAAGAGATGCATGCCTCGATGTGAGTGATATTGAGTTGGCCACACCCAGACAACATGACCACCAAGCCATGTCCACCCAGTCACATGACCACCAAGCCACGCCCACCACCTAAGCCACGCCCACAGAACCGGTTGTTAAAATTTTTGAATCCCACCCCTGGCTTTAACACTGGTATAACTCAGTTCAAATTGACAAAATTCTTTATATCTTTAGGGATGGCATTTATGTTCCCTCCCTACAAACGTTTGAAAAACCATTTGACTCTGTTAGCAATAATCTCTGTTAGATAATTAATCTCCTATTTGGTTTCTTTTCTTTCTCTTTGTTCATATTTTATAAACCAATAATAAGTTTTTTGGATGTACTTGAATGCTTTTCAATGTTATAATACCATTTAATTGTGGCAAGTTCTTGTCAATTAAACCTAATAATTATATTTTTTATACATCTAGGATACCAAATGTTAAGTTTAAGTACTTGGAAGTGATTAACTGCTAAGCCTCATGGATGTTTACTTAGAAATTTGTCATCGTATTCATTGAAACTACTGCCAAGTCAATATTTTATTACACCATTTGATATTTATTTGGGGCAAAAAGTTATTCAAAGCTTCCAGAGCATAGCGTAGTACATGATATACTCATATATATTCATGGATAAGCCCATGCACAGACAAACCAATCCTCAAATTTTTTAATGAAAATGCCATGAAGAAATGTGCCATGTGCAGATAAACCAGTTATGAAGATTAAAATGTATAAAAATTTTGAGGGTCAGTTTATTTATGAATAGGCTTATCCGTGAGAATATACAGATAATTTTTGAAAATATTATATTCACAGAAACGTCACAATTGATCTACATAGAAACCACTTTTGGAATTTTTACTCAATAAAGAGAAAAATGAAATTCTGATTTTGGGATTTGATATCTTTTGATTATGAAGATATGTATTTGTCTAGTCTGAAAGCAGAGAATTTTCAATTATAGATTTTTTTAAATTATAGACATATCTAACAATATGTATATTTTAGAGCTAATAATCTGCATTTATGGGTTATATATTTTATCAAATTAAGATATGATATATACTGTTACTGTTACTTGATTGTTTTTGTATGTATATCTTTATATATTTAGTTTTATACTTTTTTCTTTTCTTAAAATAAAACAAGTGTATATTTTATTTTATAACTATATGTTGAAAAAATTGGAAGTTTAACATTTATCTTGCTATTCTTTGTTTTCTTGTCACTTTTTAAACATTCCCTCTTGTTCCCCTCTCCCACCTTTTGTCTTCTTCTAATTTTCTATTTTAGGCTTTTATTTTTTGAAATTTAATAAACTTTTTAAAGAAATCTCATAGCTGAAATAAAAACACGAATTAAAAAGCTTGCAAAAATTCTTAAGATGACTCCTAGGAAATTCCTAGCAATTCCAAAGTTAAGATGTCCATTGTTAAAAAGTAACATTTGAAAACTACTTTTAAATTATTGCCTTATATTGTAACTACACAGTGATTTCTCTGCAGAGTGGGATCAGCTAAACGTGAAAAAAAAATCTTAAATTGAGCTCAGTTATGGCTATGCCTATGTAAAAG